GTATATCAATTGAAAAGCGCATATCGCTGTAACAAAAGGTATATCAATTGAAAAGCGCATATCGCTGTAACGAAAGGTATATCAATTGAAAAGCGCATATATCGCTGTAACGAAAGGTATATCAATTGAAAAGCGCATATCGCTGTAACGAAAGGTATATCAATTGAAAAGCGCATATCGCTGTAACGAAAGGTATATCAATTGAAAAGCGCATATCGCTGTAACGAAAGGTATATCAATTGAAAAGCGCATATCGCTGTAACGAAAGGTATATCAATTGAAAAGCGCATATCGCTGTAACGAAAGGTATATCAATTGAAAAGCGCATATCGCTGTAACGAAAGGTATATCAATTGAAAAGCGCATATCGCTGTAACGAAAGGTATATCAATTGAAAAGCGCATATCGCTGTAACGAAAGGTATATCAATTGAAAAGCGCATATCGCTGTAACGAAAGGTATATCAATTGAAAAGCGCATATCGCTGTAACGAAAGGTATATCAATTGAAAAGCGCATATCGCTGTAACGAAAGGTATATCAATTGAAAAGCGCATATCGCTGTAACGAAAGGTATATCAATTGAAAAGCGCATATCGCTGTAACGAAAGGTATATCAATTGAAAAGCGCATATCGCTGTAACGAAAGGTATATCAATTGAAAAGCGCATATCGCTGTAACGAAAGGTATATCAATTGAAAAGCGCATATCGCTGTAACGAAAGGTATATCAATTGAAAAGCGCATATCGCTGTAACGAAAGGTATATCAATTGAAAAGCGCATATCGCTGTAACGAAAGGTATATCAATTGAAAAGCGCATATCGCTGTAACGAAAGGTATATCAATTGAAAAGCGCATATCGCTGTAACGAAAGGTATATCAATTGAAAAGCGCATATCGCTGTAACGAAAGGTATATCAATTGAAAAGCGCATATCGCTGTAACGAAAGGTATATCAATTGAAAAGCGCATATCGCTGTAACGAAAGGTATATCAATTGAAAAGCGCATATCGCTGTAACGAAAGGTATATCAATTGAAAAGCGCATATCGCTGTAACGAAAGGTATATCAATTGAAAAGCGCATATCGCTGTAACGAAAGGTATATCAATTGAAAAGCGCATATCGCTGTAACGAAAGGTATATCAATTGAAAAGCGCATATCGCTGTAACGAAAGGTATATCAATTGAAAAGCGCATATCGCTGTAACGAAAGGTATATCAATTGAAAAGCACATCTAAGTACAGCTCCGACATGTTGTACTTTAACTATCATCTAAGTCATGATTTCTCAATGACACCTTTGCTCATCGCAATATTTAAGTATGCCATTACGAAATTAAAATGAGGCATTGCTGGGGGTAGGCCTTAAATTAACAAACCAGACACACAAGGCAGAGGCGTGTTAGCGGTTGTAGACGACAGAAGTTGGCAGGAGCGATCAACCAGGGTGGCACCCAAGCTGCCTTGGGAAATCTCTGTGTGTGTTTTTTTGTTGTCTATTTTACATATTCGACCAAAGCCATTTCTACCGAACTGTCTCAAGAAACCCGAGCTTTTGTAGTAAAATGCATCCTGGACTTTGAAGAAGCAGGAGCTGTCCAGGCTGTGTTTGTTAGACGATCCTGGGAAGAGATGGGGCATGGGTGGGCAGGGATGGGCATAGATGGGCAGGGATGGACATGGGTGGGCAGTAGGATGGACAGGGATGGGCATGGGTGGGCATGGATGGGCATAGATGAGCATAGATGGACAGGGATGGGCATAGATGGACAGGGATGGGCATAGATGGACAGAGATGGGCAGGGATGGGCATAGATGGACATGGATGGGCATAGATGGGCAGGGATGGGCATGGATGGGCAGAGATGGGCATAGATGGACAGGGATGGGCATAGGTGGACAAGGATGGGCAGCAATGGGCAGAGATGGGCATAGATGGGCAAAGATGGACAGGGATGGGCAGGGATGGGCATAGATGGACAGGGATGGGCATAGATGCACAGGGAAGGGAAGGGATGGACAGGGATGGGCATAAATGGGCTGGGATGGGCAAGAATGGGCTGGGATGGGCAGGAATGGCCTAGGATGGGCAGGGATGGGCAGGAATGGCCTAGGATGGGCTGGAATGGGCTAGGATGGGCTGGAATGGGCAGGGATGGGCTGTGATGGGTAGGAATGGGCTGGGATGGGCAGGAACTGGCTGGAATTGGCTAGGATGGGCAGAGATGAGCTAGAATGGGCTGCGATGGGCAGAAATGGGCAGGTATGGGCTTGGATGATGAAGTATGTGGTAAGATGAGATACCTAGAACCCTACACATTAGTAACTGTTTGGTATGAAACTTTACATAGTTAATATATTTACAAGTGTCAGTGTGGTTATAGTCATTAGCATAGTGCTCATTAGCATATTTGTGACTCGCTACATGCCGCCTTTACCGAATTTTTGTTCTGTTTTCAAACCTTAAAATGGTCTTTTTATAACATACACCGTTGACATGGCGAATGTACAGGTATCCCAGTCGAGTCTGCCGCCGGTCTCCATCGAGCAGGCGTTCCTGGAGACTTACTTCCACGCGCTGAGTCAGTTCGCGTACGACAAGGCCAAGGAGGTCGCGGTGAGCCAAGAACGTCGTCTGCAAAATAAATTTATATTTTGGTTACAGTAAAACTGGGAAGCGTAGAGCAGGAATGCAGAAGACAGAGAAACTGACAATACTGCTTTTACGTAGATGATATCAGCAGCATAAAATCTATGTTATTCTACAGCACAACGATCTAGTGTTACGTTTAAATTTGAGGAAGCAAAATATGGGGGAGGGGGGCCACTTGTGTCTCATCATGATCACTGTACAATACAAGGAGATAACATCCATGTCATTATATATTGAAAGTAGTAGACGGTCAGGAATTTCAAGACTGTGAAGTTACATTACTTTCTCAGCGGTATGTGCAGGTAGTTTGAATTTTTGACACAATCAAGGAGCTGCCTGGGGCCTAGGAAACTATGAGAAATCAGATGGGATTTTCTGTAGCCCCTGTATGTCCCCTGTAGGAGAAGGACCGTGACTCGAGGAAGACAAACTACGGCTCCACCTGGACGTCCCTGCTCAACTCCCTGTCCCACCTGGCCATGGCGGAAAAGATGTACGCCTCGCTCGGGTACCTGGGGCAGAAGAAGTGGTTCAGCGGCAGAGAGGTAACTCCACTTGTGATTTGATACCCAGACTGGACTCCAGTATTACTGAACCGTCTCTTGAAATGTATCAAGATGTTACCAGTGTGCCAATTTGAATCATTATTTGCTATATACTACTGGTAGAGCCCAATGAATAGATTTATAAATAAAATCTGAGGATACTAAGTAACATAAAGAAAACTTTTAAGTGGCTAGCCTGATGTACTACCCAAAATTCTAAAAATTGGGTTGTATGTCAAGACACTGCTGGTTTTAGAATGGACCAGTTAGGTGTATTTAGACATCAGAAATGCCTGCAGTACTCCTATTGTACCTGCAAATACAGGTGGTATTTTGAGCCTTGGCGATATATACCTCTATGTCATGTCGACTAGAGGTTGGCAATTATTGCTTGACTTGCATCTGATTCCCAAGTCACCAACACACAAAACTGTGAGTTAGTCAATGTTAATCTTTTACACCAAACCCTACAGTCCCTCAGGTCCACGTACTCCTCCCTGCTGACAGAGCTGCGTAAGATTGAGGACACCGGTCGGCAGGCGGTGGGCGGCACAGCACCGTCCCTGGAGAAACTCTTAGCTCACCTGTGTGGACAACTCTCCTCCTTTGTAGCAGCCAGGCTGGAAACTATGGACTTGTATCCTTCCTTTGTAGACTTTTGTTTAGAACTGTTCATACACAACTTGATGTCAGGTATTTCACAATGAATTGAATTGATTTCAAATCCAAAGTTGTGCAGTAATACACCAACTGGAGAATGTAACACATGCATATCATCTTGATACAGTAGGAAAAAAACTTTACTAGTAATTTGCTTAATGTACCAGTATCTGTTGGTATCTAATATCTTTTTCAGTTTGTATCAATATAGCCAGAAAATTTGACTCGAACTTTGTAGTCATTACCCCTGCAAAATTTGACAAGCTGCATTAACATAATTGCTATGGAAACATTAGCTCCTATATTCTTCTTAACATTCAAACCAGCTATGAAACTTTGTGTTCCATGGGATCCAGTCGGGTCATTGGTTATGCAGAAGTAGCTGTGAACTTGGCTGCCATCATACAGAGGTATCTGGAGGCTCTGCAAGTTTCTAACAAGCATTTTTTTTTAAATTTCAGTAGGTTAAGCTGTAAAGTTCTAAATAAATTCTTTTGAGTCATTTTTTTTCAGTTGGGAATGCCAGCATTAGTAGATGCTCAAAATATTAATGACCAAATTTCATGTTCGTGAATAAAACACTGATTACAGTCAGTAATCTATAGAATTGCTATAAAAAGTTCTATGTCATGGAAGTGATATGACAATATATACAAGTAGAAAACTTGACTGCTAATATAGAAAGAAAGTTTATTGCAAATTCATGCCCGAGGGCTAATTGCAAGAACATGATAACAACAGTAAACAGTAGAATGATAATAAGTGATGCTAATGCTACTTTATATATACATTTGTAGGTATTGTTGGGTTTGATTATATAAGATGCTATGCATGAATGCTTTGTTAGTACATGTTTTGCTTTTAAAGTTCTCAACTGAAATGATGTTTGTTTTTGCAGACACAGTAAGAGTTTCCACCACCCGATCCTGACGCCGCTGAAGACCAGTTTCAGTGACGAACTGTCCATCCTGTACCACCTGCTGCAGGCGCAGGCTGACATGGCCGTGTGGTGCTTCCTCCCCGCACTGCTGCACCTGCACGAGGCACACTCCAAACTCAACTCATGGGGGGCCATCGTACAGATGGCTAAAGAAGTAAGACTGGTTATATAGAATGTACCAGGCTTTGGGAAGTAGCTGGAAAGAGTAGAAATTGGTCAAGTAGACAGATTATGCTAGGGGAGTTTGTCCATGCTTATGTGTGTGTGTGTGCGTGTGTGTATGTTGCCAAGTTTTAATCTTTCCAGCCGATCCCCAAAGGGGTCTCTTAGAAATTTCTTCACAGATGTTTTTTTGTTTTTGTTTGTTTGTTTCTTTTGGTCCATTTCAGCACTTCTTTACAGTGGGGCTCTGGATAGTCTTAGCTATAGGATAGGATAGCGATAGGATGGTGTCGCTAAGTTTTTGGTTATTAACAATATATGGTACCAATTTGCCATGAGGCATGCCTTTAGCATAACATCAGTGAACAAAGGTAGGTCGTGCTCTGTTGGACTCCCAAACAAGGCAGCTACTGTTCAACATATTGATCTGTGCCCAGTAATTAAGGAAAGTAGGTCATGTAAGAAACCAACCCATGGAACAGCTTGAAAAAGCAAATACTATTTAGGTCACCTATTCAGGAACAATATTTTGAAGAAAAACATGAACATTGCATATATTTTACTTGTACCACACAGTTGTAGGCTCGAATCAGATATTGACCAGCAGTTCATTTATTTCATTCATTTATCATTTAGTCTTCATTTCAGGTATGAAAACCCATAAAAACATTACACTTTACAAGAAAACAGATATACAAAAGGACATACATGTACAAACAACTATTAAGATCACTAGCTGCATACGTATTAAGAGTTCTGGAAAAATTAATTCCTTGTATCTTCATCACAATTGTCAAGTGTTGTTTTGTATCATTACCCCAGCAGAGTCAGAAGAAAGGTTTTGAGCTGTTTGGCAGCACGTCCACCAAGGTGCCGCAGGTCCCACCTCTACACCAGTGGCTGCTCAGTTTCAAGGCTGCCCTCGTTTCCAAGGTGATGAAAACCATTCCATCAGTTTCACTCACTGAATACTTCTGTTGCTTTAATCAACTTTTCTGTAACTTCTATCGTCATGTATAATTTTCAGATTTTGCTAATTACAAGTAATATCTGATCTGTATTTACTTATTTATTTCTTTAGTTCTCCTTGTATTTCAACGAGACCCTGAGTAAACAGTCCAGCCCACCTGAGATGAAAACCCTTCTAGCAAAGACATCATGTGACTACATGGCAAAGTAAGCAATGTCGTTCCTTTATTAGATAGGGTGGACTGAACGTACATGTACAATGTAATCTCCAAGCAGATACTACGTATGGTAGCAAGGCACCAGTGGCTATTGGACACTGTGGCCTGTCACAGTGTTTACACAAGCTCTCAGCAGGAGGTTAGTAATCCCCAACCCAAGGGGTAGCAACCTTCGGGTGGCCGCCGCCAGGAGCACGATTTAGTCAGGCTATTGGACACTGCTTTCCAGTTGGATACTGCCTTGCCACTGTAGGATCTGCTTGGAGATTAGACTCAAGGCAGATTGAATGAAAGAAAGCTTCAGTGCAGTAAATGACAAGTCACTCACTCACTCACTCACTCAATCCTCTTGCACGTGGTGCATAGAGCTGACTAGCATTGTCAGGGCCCGCCACTTTCCTCTGTCTTCAGCCAGCTGCTGTGTCTGGGGGAGCTGGATGTTGATGTTACTCAGGTCACGTCGGACAGCGTCCATCCATCTGGTACGTGGGGCCCCCCTGGGCCGCCGCCATCCTGCCTGTTCAGGTGCAAAGTCCAGCAAGGCACGGGTGGGGTGCCAGGGAGGGAGGCGGAGAACGTGACCATACCAGCGGATCCGTCGGGCAGCTGCAAGGCACGATGCAGCAGGTTGTCCGGTCAGGTCACGGAGGTCCTTATTGCTGACATGTTCATGCCAGCGAATACCGGTAATCCTCCGGAGGGCTCTGCTGTCGAATCCGTCTAGACGTGATTCCAGCGTGCTGTTCAGTGCCCAGGTTTCTGATCCGTACAGTAGGACCGAGATGACAGAGGAGTTGTAGATGCGTTGTTTCGTCTGCTGTGTAATGTGGCGATGTCGCCAGAGTGGCTTCCACAGAGACTGCAAGACTGCTGAAGCTTGGGCATGTCTTTGGTTAATCTCTGGCTTTAGATCCCCGGTCTTGGAGATTATAGATCCAAGATACTTGAACGTGGGAACAAAGTTCACCGTGCAGGAGTTGAAGACTAGTGGGGGAGGGTCTGAGCCTTCCCCGATGTGCATAAGTTCTGTCTTACCCCAGTTGATGCTTAAGCCGAGCTTCTTGGATTCCTCGTCGTACACTGTGAGGGCATCCTGGAGTCGTTCTAGGTCGTCGGCAAGCAGAGTAGTGTTATCAGCATACTCCAGGTCAGCCAGGTTGTACTGGCCAAAAAACACCCCTGGGACTCTCTCACATACCTTGGTCATCAGGTAGTCGATGACACAGTTGAAGAGATCCGGTGCGGCCACACAACCCTGGCGGACCCCGCTGTTGATGGTGAACCACTCCGACTCCTTGCCGTTTACTCTCACGCAGCTCTCCGCAGAGTTGTACATCTGTTGGAAGAGGGTGATTGTCTTCCGAGGTGCTCCGATCAGCTTCAGGATCTTCCAGAGGGAGGCATGATCCACTGTATCGAAGGCTGCTCGAAGATCAATAAAGGCGATGTAGAGGTGCCGATCTCTTCTGAACTCCTGTGCCTTCTCAATGGCCAGACGTAGTGCGGAGATATGGTCAGTGGTAGAGCGGTTCGGCATGAAGCCTGCCTGTTGTGGGCGGCGCCTGCTCCTGATGGCAGGGAGGGTCCTTGACAGTAGGATACGGGTGAACAGCTTGCCCGGGATGGACAGTAAGGTAATCCCCCTGTGGTTGCTGCATACCAGCTGGTCTCCCTTCCTCTTCCAAAAAGGTAGGATGATACCCCGTCTCCAGTCATCCGGTAGCTTCTCTAGGATCCAGACATGGTTAATTATCTGGGTGAGCCACTGGATCATGTGGTCTCCACCTGCCTTCAGCATCTCCGCTGTGATGTTACAGATGCCAGGAGCTTTCCCGTTCTTCAGTTTCCTCAAAGCAGCCTTCACCTCGTCTGAAGTAACAGGGGTGATAGGGCAGTCCGGGTTAGCACCATCTGTCGCATCTGCAGCCTCAGTGAGGGTGGGGTCCTCTGGGACTGGGGGTGGTTTAGAAGCTGGCTAAAGTGTTCCTTCCACCGGTGGATACAGTCTGCTTCAGTAGAGATGATGTTGCCGCACAGGCTATGCTACACTACTGTCTAACGAACTGTCTAAGTACGACCTTAGCTTAGTCGGTATCTGCGAGGTACGATGGCCCGGCACTGGCGAAACCATTGTCGGAGACCACACCTTTATATGGAGTGGCCCCAAGGAGAGAACCGGACTCTACGGAGTAGCCCTAGCCATTCCCACTCGCCTGAGAGGATCGCTCATCAGCTGGAAACCTATCTCCGATAGATTGCTCACGGCTCGTCTTCTTCACAAACATGGCAAAATGACTGTCATCGTTGCCTATGCACCCACAGAGGCTGCCCAGGATACAGACAAGGACACATTCTATGACCAGCTCCAAGAAGCGGTTCAGGATGCTCCACCGCATGACATAACTATAGTCCTTACTGATGCCAATGCCACATTGTCAGTCGCCCCCGGGCCCCAGAACTCCTCCCAGAAGGATGGGCCCCATAACTGTGGACATGACTACCAACAACAATGGCAGCCGGCTGTTGGAGCTCTGCAGAGCCACCAACCTCTGTGTTGCTGACACGTGGTTCCCGCGGAAGAGGATCCATCACTGGACCTGGTACAGCCCGGATGGGAAAACCAGGAAAGCGATCGATCACATCCTCATCTCAAGCCGCTGGAAGCCATTCGTCACCAACTGCCGAGTCTACAGAGGCGCCCAGCTTGGCAACACCGATCACAGACTGCTGATCGCTCACATGAGGCTCAAGCTCAAGAACGACCCTTCCACCAAAAGGCAAGTTCGCTTGGACTCCTCTCGACTCAAGGACCCGATGATCCAAGAGACCTACACATGTGCTATATCCAACCGATATAATGCCTTAGCTTCAGATGCATTGCCAGATTGGGAGCTCTTCAAGACAGAAACCTACAAAGCGGCCCAAGAAACTCTAGGAAGGGGTAGACGCTCCCCTAAACAACCTTGGATCTCACGAGAAACCCTTGACATCATTGACAACCGGCGTGCTGCCCGTCTCCGGGGTGACCTATACGAGTACCGACGTCTCAACGGTGCCCATAACTCATCCATCCGCCAGGATCGTGAGAGGTACTGGACTGAGCAGGTGGCAAAGCTAGAAGCCGCGGCAGAAAGGAACGACCAGAGGCAAATCTACAGTCTCCTCCGCCAGGCCAAGGCCGGCCCACGACAACGCAGCTTCCTCATAAAGGACAGCGCTGGCAACAAATGACAAGTCCCATTTGAAGAATTATGTTTGTATTTATCTGCACTTAGTCAACCTTTTTTAAGCTTTAGATTATCATTTTAAGCCAGAGTAGTTTGCCTATGTAGGTTTGCTATCAAGCATGATCCATGCTTTATTTACATGTATTTTATTGTAACCTTTCCCTTCTTTACTAAGATCAACCATTTTGGCATGATAAAATGTACAATTAAGCTAGCTTATAACCCCAACTCCCAGGTTTGCCACGTTTTTGCGTAAATCGGATGCGACTAACCTGTCGATTGTTCTGGACACCCGTGGACTGGAGGAGACGTATAAGGGTCACGGGTACCACCACCCTGCAGCCAAGCTGGAGCCGCCCAAGGGACTGGACAGTTACCCTGCCATCGTGTCTGTTCCCGGGGTAAGGCTAACACTCCAAGCAGATGTTAGGCCTATTTCCAGATGACTTTTTTATTGTTTTGTGCGGCTTTCTATTTTGTCAGCTTTTCTTTGGTTATCCTGGCCAAACAAAAGAAAAACTGACAAAATAGAATGCCTGGCAGTGAAAATGAAAAATGCAATGAAAAATGTCCCAAAAACAGACCTAAACCTCTGCTTACAAAGTACTAAGGCTTACTGTTGTCACTATTGATACTGGGCATGAAGCCTACTCTCCAAGCAGAGGTTGTTGGGGAAAATTGTGACATTCTTTATCATGCACCTGGTTTTTGTCTGCCTTCTTCTGTTGGGGAAGGCGGACAAAAACTGGGCGCATGATAAAGAATGTCACAATTTTCCCCAACAACCTCTGCTTGGAGAGTACATGAAGCCTAACATTTCAGTTAACGTAAAAATGTATCAATAGTTGCCATGAAGACGGAAGAACGTTTGTGCCGAGGTAAAGACTCTTTTTTATGTTGATCTCCATTTCAATGGTCTCCATTGCTAGTAAAGAGGTTTTACCTGAAGTAAAATTTAGAAAGCAGTCAAATTATTATGGTTGACTGTTTACCAGTGTCTATTTTGTCATGGTTGCTTATTTCTATTTTATTTGTTAGGAGAGACCCCAGCATCACTGGCCCAACCTCATCATGATCATGAACAACAACGCTGCTGAAATGAACACCATGGAGAGGATAGTTTACTTCTACGACAAGGTTGGAACTTACTTTAGCTGTGAATAGTAGTAGTTCTGTCCAAAATAGTCGCTTACCGGTATACAAATATTCAAACTCCTTGATCTGTGTACCTAAATGACTTGCTCTCTGGTGATAAATGCTGTCAAACACACGAATCATGTGAGTGACACCCTGGTTACCAAGCCTATTTTAGCTGCCGAGTCTCTTTTGTCTTCTCTGCAAATAGCAGAGACTCAGACGCTAAAATAGGCTTGGCAACCAGCCTATGTGAATGAAGCTCCCCAAACAAAAAGAAGGCTCATACTTTCATATAATATTGTCACATCATAAGAATCTGAATTTGACTTGTTCAACCCATATACATTTGTATTTGTCCCCTGGTATAACACTGCAGATTGTACCTATTCTACTATATTGCAATACATATGCTATGTATCTTTGCAACCATTTCATAATGACAAAGCAACTTACATCTGTTACATTTTTAAGCACAATCTTTATATGAGAGATTTTGGTAAGTTGACATATTTTTTTCCTATCCTAGGCCTTCCAGAGCACCTACTACATGATAAGAATAGAGCCGAAGATGACACTGGTGGTGATATTCGAAACCAAGAGAGCTGAGAAGGACTCCTATGTCAATACATTCCTTACAGGTTATTTTTGCACTTTCATTATTGCAACAATTTGTGACATGATGCTAATGATGATGATGACTTTTTCATCTGGATCTGGCATAGATAAAGTGAAAGACCATGCTTGACTGACCAAAAAGATTGCATGATACACGTGAGCATGTGAGCAAATGAAAGTTACACCATGCAAAAGTCTTTTAGATTAAAAAGCATGAATTCGTTAGTGCTAAATCTAATCGTCAACGAGAGAGAAAAAGATGGGTAAACATTTAAGAAAAGCTTTGCTGAACATGACTTATTCAAACAAATTGGCAGAGAGAAAGAGAGAAGAAAAAAAAGCTTTAGCTGCTTCCTGCAAAATTTTTCCAGTCCATTTAGAGTGAGGGAATCCCGGTGACACCTGAGTGCCCTAAGCAAATGTTTGATGTTTGCAGTGATCAAGCTAAGGCAGGCTTCTTGTATTTAGACAGGTTCTAAACTAAGCCAGGCAACTGTGGAGACAAAAAGCTATGGCTACACAACTGGTTCTCTGTGAAATAGGTGTCACTTTGTACACAAACAAATACTGTATACTTAATCAAGGTCTCATTATAATTGTCCCATGATAGGTGTGAAAGATTGTGTGAGGTCATCAGTGATCATCTTTCTTCAAACAAGATTATTTGTCTGGGAGAAAAATAAACACACAGAATTACAGTTTATTGTCCCTCCTGCATAGATAAGTCCAGTGACATGTGTGTTGATTAAACATACTACACACCTTGCAAAGGTGTAGTATTTCCTATGGCAATGCTTGTCTTGGTGAAAACAACAGAAAACATAGTAACACATGTCCTAAGGAGGACCTGAAGTCTTCAAGTTGGTGACCTATATGTTACAACCTAGACAATAGCAAGAATGTTGAAAGGTCTTGTAAGTTGTGATTTTTACTAATTTTAGACCAATCAAACATTGTTTTCTTTTTTTTCTTTCCAGAAATTTCATCCCAACTCAAAAACAACAAGCTGCTACTTAATCTAAAACCTGGATCAAAGTGAAGCAATGTACCATCTGCAAATACAGTACTACATATACAAGTATAATTTATATTGTATTACATCTCATGAAGAGCTGCAATATGGTAACAACTTACTGTATATTATTTGCATGTTCTCCTTCTCTTGCAATTCATTAAGTCAAATAACAATGTTTAAAGCATCATTTATGACTGTAATTCAGGAAGAGATTTCTTTGATTTGGCTAATTATTATTAGAGAAATTATTGACTACTGACAGTAATAAAACACACCGTGTGTTGCTCTGATTGGATGGATTGGAAGCAGTGTCATTTGTTGCTATGCACCTGATTTTTACAACTGTGTATTGATGGTATTTTTGTCAAGCTACAACATTGTAAGTCTGTTGACTATTGTAGCCATAAAAATACCACTACAACCTTCTTGATGCTGTGATAGGAGCTTATCCAAACATCTAAGGAGGGAGTCTAGTCAGCGGGGGGGGGGGGAGGGTTCTAAACTAAGCCTCTTTGAGTCAACACAGCTTCAACTCAGGTCAGCAACATACCAATTGACTACAACACAGCTAATTTAGTCTGGTATTTAGGATATGCCTGATTTATATGTATTTATGTTATGTTATGTATCACGTTCACAAAAGGACTTCCATAAAGATAGGAAGACATCATACTTACTTGTATCCTTTTCATCCCTTGCCAGACATAAGGCCATGACTTTGAAGACATGACATAGGAGGGGGCAAGCGTTTTTCCGTAGAACGTGATCGGCCGTTTTAATTCTATGTAGAGCGTAGACAGACCACTCTAATATTTTTGAATAGAGTGTATTCGGCGTTTTAATTGCACCCGCAGGCTATGTTTACCTGATCTTACCTACTAAGGTGAACAAGAATGTACAGTCCCTGAAACCCATGCGGTGCCCCCAGGCTAACCTATTGAGGTAAAACTACTAAAAGGTTCCAGATGCCTATGTGGTGATTGGTTTAGTCAAGTTGGTCCATTGAATTATGTCATAACAGAAATCTGAATACATGTACATGTAGGATCAAGTAGTATACTTACTTCGGACAATGAGGTTTAAATAGGGTCTGAAACGTTGTGATGAGAAAAACCAAGGACGTGTCTTGTAAGGTCTTTACAACTTACTTACAAGGTCTTAGAAGTTGGATTGACTTGATCAGGTTGAGTGAGGTCATTGTCTCCAAAAGTCCCAGAATGGCTGCCTTGGTTCGGATTTGAATTTATAGATCCTTGGCGCGATTTTAAACAATACTAAATCATTGTATAACGGTAGTGACCTCCTTGTGTCGGGTTTCGTGGTCAGTTGTTTGCATAATGTCCTCAAGGCGGTGTGAGAACCGGTAACCTGGCCTCAGATGGCCTTACATCCGGGACATCTGGTCTGAAAAGCCTGAGGGGCGTAGCAGGGCACGGGTCTGAGAACGTGTTGTCTTTGTCAGTACCCGGTACATCCAACAGGAACATCGGATCCACCTTTACAGCGCACGGTAGGTCACTCTCTACACATACTTTGACGGCAATACTATGCAGAAACTTCTGTCGCGAGCTGAGTTTACTATTTGTTCAACCGAAAACGACAGTTTTAGAGACATACCGACGCATCCACAAGCAAGGGTTTCCGGTCTATTAGATATTCCTCAAGACGCGTCTTCGGTCGACCATGGGCCCACCAAGTAACATGAGTTTTATGCGACCGCAAGTTTCGAATTCAGTCCTTTCGGGTCTTTCGTATGACTTTCTTCCCGAAACCGTTTTGTGTGCTGTGCGGAAGCCTGTAGATAGAGTCCTACTTGACGGCCCCCCGGTGGCAGGGGGCCAAGCCCAAGCCGTCGGGGTTCAGTCTTGCTTGGCTTGTCCGCTCCCCAAGATCCGCTACCCCACCAACAAGACTGGGCCCCAACTCATCTCAACAACCGTCGGGTGATGTTACTAGTAATATGTGTTCAGAATTATCGGCGGGGTAGTTGATTGTGATTTTGGGGAGCGGACTATTTAGCTAACTACTAACTGGACTCCCAGTCCCAGCAAACCGAGTCCGCCCCGGACAAGACCTACTACTGGTAGTGCCCCTCCGTAACATGACCCCACCCTCCTCTACTACTGGACCTCCTGGGCTACTGTTTTGGCTGGGCTTCTGCCATGTCTCTATATGGAGGTCCGTGTCAACACATACTAACTAGTTCTTACTACTCACCGGACGGCTGCCCCAAGCGGGGCACGATAGCGATGTGTCATCGTTCCCCCGTCATGTCAGTGTGGTCGTTTCCCCGTCAGTGGTTATGACTCCTAAAGTTGTTTTTTGTCAATCTAAGATAAAATTATGTTACTAGTATAAGTGTTTACATGTGATATTTAGCGCGAGATTCTTGTTCCATACTATTTTTTTATGTTGACGACTTACAAGAGTAGAGTTACAAGATCTTACAAGCCGACTGTTTTGCCAGACGTTAGCACAGCGCCAGATGCTGTGTCAAGTTTTACATAACGATTGAAAACATTGAAACGTAAACAACTATGATCTAAAACATTTAAACACAAGCAAGCAGCAAGCAACCAGAAGGGCATCCCATATATCATATAATGTTTGCACTGAACCAGAAATTTGTTGTTTGCGAATTAAATGGCAAGACAAGAGCGAAGTTCTTGTAATTTTAGAAAAATGAAAAAAAAAACACAAGTTTCGAAGGGAATTGGTCTGTGAAACACCGCACTGTATTCACGCAGGCCATGATGATAATGTCCATTGATTCAGTTCGTCTGTTTTTAGAGCCAACATGACTTGTGTCTAGACAAGGGGTAAGTCTGATCCTTACCTGTCCAATACTACTACTAGTACTTTTGTTTATACCAGCGTTAGAACCCTAGAGCAAAAGTGTGAGTGACAGTGATCACAGAAGATAGGATTGGGGGTCTTAACTTGGATGGACACATAACGTCACCATATATAAAGAATCTATCTATATAATGGCCTTGTTCATACATGACTGCTCTGGTGTATGCAGCTATTCACGTAACCCCAGGCATGTTCATAATTATACCCATTGTGATGGTGCTTCAGCGTGACAAAGTCAAAGGCATTGTTCACAGTCCTTACGAAAAAGCAGCAAAAAGACCGGACCCTTCTCATCTTCGTGCAGGAAACGCCGGCCCCCTCTGCAAGAAAACGAACTTCAGATCGAACTTTTCACGTGTTGTATAGAATGTATGTGACCGTGTTTTATCGGTCATATCTAGAGTTATCGGACTGTTGCACGCCAAGAATGGTCTCCGTCCGTCGCCAGTAACTAACACTGGTGACATCGTACCCTGGAAAGCCAGAGTACAGCGGGTCGCGGCTGATTTCTTATCGGCCCAACAAGCACATATACCCGCGAAACACGATCCAGCCGGCCAGGGTAGTTAGCGCCCCCGCTAAGAGAAATCAGCCGCGACCCGCTGTACTCTGACTTTCCAGGGTAGTGACATCGGCGTATAATCATCTGAAAATATGCGAAGTTACTCTTGTTAAAGCTTGTACTGTAGTACTTTTCCGTCACGGAGTCACTTCTAGTCGACCTACTACATGTACTAACATCAGATCCTATCGCAACAACTAACCCAGTCTGTTTTTGTAATGCGAACCATCCAATGCCAAATTCCACCACAAATGGGAAGCCGTGCGCGAGGTCAGACGTTTGTAACGTGTTTAGCCTACACAAGTTACCATGCCAAATTTCTAGCAGGTGACACACTTGACATGTAAAACCCGACTAACAGCTCTGCGGATCATACTACCCTTGGTTAGTCCCGGTGGGCGTCAAGATCTTTGTTGTGTTTGTACGTTTCCAGGACTAGAACTTGAAGAAGAACGATGCTTCGATCGTCTCTGTCTGCCTATCTCTTGCGGATCCGTCCGCGATCCGCCAGACGGTTGAAGAGCACGCTGACGTCCGTCTCCGAGAAGAGAGACGAGGACTTTGAGCCGACCGTCTACCCGACCATGCGGAATCACAACCGGCTTCGTCTCTACACACGGAGCTTGGTAGGTTTATATGTGTCTTACTATGTACATGTACTAACATCTCAAGAAACTTTTAATATGTACGTATTTAGTGTTTTATCATTTTATTGTGGTCTTTATTTAAGCCGATCTTGTGTATCATGAAAAGAACAACAAGGGGTAACTTGGTACATGTACAACCAGTGTCATATTTTATGAAACAGTGACTTGTTGTTTCATTGAGATGCGATGGTCTAGAGTTCAGGTAATTTCTATTTGCTGGAATTCAGGGGTAGCTTCTCTGCTTAAATATGGGTCATTCGTTCTAGTCACGTCTATGCCGGCGTTTTTACTTCCTGAACGCCATTGTTTCTCAACTGACCTGTGACCTAACCTAATTTTCCTAATTTGGTGCATGGATTGATCCAGACACAGCACTTCAGAAAACTGGGGCACCGGTATTGTATACAACCCACGTTGCGCCGACAACAAGTGGTCACTTCACAGCAGCGTTGGCCGGTATTTATTTGGGCAAATCCCTCCAAATAGTAGAATCAGTCGAGCGACGCGGGCGAATTCCGGATCCCTCATCGTGATTACAGACAACCAAAGAAATTAGCGTGGGCTAAAATACCTCTCAACTTTGACCACAAGTGAATGCCAAATTGGTGCCTTGAAAATCCACGATTTCCAAGTTATTCAACAGGAAAAAGGAACCGTGTCCCTGCAAGGCTTTATGCGTGTAATGTAAAACAATACTGTTTACGATTCGTGTGATGGTTGAAAGGAATCTGTGGTATGTCGTAATCCGAGTAATTATGCCGCAGGTACTTAGAACAAAATGTGTCCAAGAAAAAGGCAGAGCGATCCAAACTGTTAGTCTCCAAGCAGATATTTAGGGTCAGGAAAATAAATCTTTACGTTTTCCTAACTGCTCTTTTCTATAGTATGTCAATCTGTCTCCTCACTGAAAGGGCACAAAAAAGGTGACTTAGCCTCCCAACATCTGCTTGGACATTATGCCACCCGATCGGTAAGTTTGGTCATCTCCAAGCAGATACTGGGGGGCTAAATTTTTTTTTTGCTACGTGCAGGCCAGGCAGGTCATTTACATTCTTTTTAGGCAGATTTCAACAATTTAATCAGCCTGTAAAGTTCAAAGGAGCCTGGTGGAGACTATTTTTTGCACTCACTCTTCGAGTGTGAGCACGGCACGGTAAAAAATAACGATATCCCTCCACTAAGGCCTTCAATACCTGCTAGCAGATTACACAGTAGACTGATTGCAGTAAGTGCTGATGAAGCAACAGCCTGTAGGCACTACCTATTCAGAACAAAAGCTGCATTTTGAGCTGTGATTATGCTGACTTGAATTATGGCGCATTTCATGTTTCCGTGGACATAAAGTGAGCTTTGAGCTTCTTCTTTCTGCCAGTTAGTTCTGTAACACTAAGTTATCTGTTCACACAAGAACCGTTAGTTATAATTAACGTTCTGCTCACTCAAATGTCAAATTTACAAAATTTATGTCAGCCATTTATGTGGTTCAGTGAGGCACGTCTAACACGTCCAGACGTCTGCAAGGTTACCGCACGTTACCTCTCGAGGTGCACAACAAACTCATAGTCCACAAAGGGATAGCCAAATTGACCTAAAAAAGGCACAGTATTTAGATTACGACGAACTGTTACAAATTGAAGTGTATTATTGCCCGTAGGAGACAAAGCAAAAACGACTAAAGAAATATTTTATGTATTATTCGTCATCAAAAAAAACTGAACAACACGACCTTCAAGTTGGACCTTGACTACATGGGTGCAGCCTTATTAGTCTCGCACAGGTGCTATTCTGCCTGAAAACAAGCGCACTGCGGAAGTTCTACCTGGATTTGCAAAACGTAGTCAGTCGACCCTAGAGGAAACACACACTTTTAGATGGTCCAAGAAAAAGGTAGCAATCTTTCACGCTCTCAAAAAAACTTCCCGATTCCATAGCAAACAGTGACACTTCAGATTTACCATTAAAGAACCGAACATTTCTCCGCCGTGTAGATCCCGTCAGTGCTGAACACGTACCTGCCCGAGGCGGCCAAACACCTGGACCCGACCCCGTACGTCGCCGCCGCCACGGTCCTGCCGATGCGCACCAACAACTACGTGGTGCAGGAGCTGATCGACTGGTCCAACGTGCCCGAGGACCCCATCTTCCAACTGACCTTCCCGCAGCCTGACATGCTGATGCCTGAGGCACTGGAGCGAATCAGCAAGTGAGTTCCACTTCTATGTCATGTTAGTCTACTTTGTGTGTAGTACATGTTGTTTCTAACTAAAGGGTTGTGTACGGTATTTGTCTTGGTGGTCAGATATTTTCTTAGATAAGTACATGATGAGTATTTTTGGGGGCACCATGCCGAGGAACCACTCTACTTCTGTAAACCAACTAAGACACTTTTAAGATTTCACTTGCTTTTTACGGAAAAAACTATGAATATTCGCTCTCTTTTATTATCATTTTTATTTCTATGACGGCTTTTGTTGACATAAATACCTTGTAAAGTACATAACTTACAGAAATATTAATAACTGTTTTATTTAACTTCATCTTGACATATCAAAATTATCGGAAGAAAAAAAACAATTCAGAATTTTTTTGTTTAATCCGTCATTATTGGAAATCTGAACGTTTTTTTCAGTCATGAAGACATCTTCTATGAAGTCTGACGAAGTATTCAAGTTCACTGTAACTTTTGTTCCGAGTCACTGGAAATAGTTGGTCTAAAACTTTCCGTTGCGGACGTATGTAGTGTATTAAAGCTTAGCCTCCCTCCCTCGCTTATGTCGGTGCTCGCCAAGCCTTAGAGGGGTTGAATACCACCCACCTGTTGATATAAAAAGTTAGACATTATTCATCGACGCTGCCAAGGATTACAATGAAGAAATGTTATTGACAACGGTAGAAAGCTCAGGCCGTAACAAACGACGGTTGTACATTGTGTATAATGATTCGCCATGGGGTAAATACTTTATGGGATGTGTGTGCAATCACACGTGAACGTTGCTTAGAGTAGCGTCCGCCAAATTGGTGGGTTTAAAGACATTTGCTGATACCTTATATATGGGAAATGTTCCAGACTACTGGTTGGCGTGAACTTAAAGATGTCCGCTTGTAGTCTTGTGCATGTTTAGGGAGTATCAGACCTTTATAATAGTACGACAAACTCCACTACCTGAGTCGCTATCTTGGTTCTATACAACCACCAAAATGGCGACGGTGGTTATTTTAACGTCACATGCAACCACCCTTTCGGTTGTCGGTACTGAGGGTGGAAATTGGTATCCTCCAACAGGCCTTCCAGGGGTTTAATGATAATAGAATTCAGCAAAAAAGGGAAATAATTTGCCAACAGATTCAGTCAGCGGGAGCAAATAGATAAACTCCCCTGGCAAAATAAATTATCTCCCCTGATTTTGAACCCACGTTTTTATGTTAGTCTGGCAATTTAGTAAGATATTGTTTCGTATTGGAAACGTGGTGACAATCAGCCCCTCTAGGCGTCAGAACTAGCTTGTAGGGCATGTAAGGTTTTGTTCTGTGTCTTTGCGTTCTCGCTCTCGCCTTGTGCAGCGCGAAGTGTGTGATGTTACGGTGTGGGTTACCTCCTGGTATGTTTGCAGTATTGGGAGCCGACACCTTACAGCCGGGGAACGCTGTTCGGTGGATCCCTGATGCCAGCTGAAAGCTGTCTTCAAGCAGTAAGATGTTTCCATTCTGTCCATACATCTTTGCAATGTATAAGTGTAACGGTTCTTGTACACAATGTTGTAGGAAGGGACTAGATTCGGTGTTCACCGTCATCATTCATCACTTTAGGGGTTGACACTTTTTTGGGGGAGGACTCTCTCGATGAGCATACTCTTCGAGGAGTTGTTTGGAGGGAAAATTCGACTGATACTGCTCTCGCCAAGTCAGGAAATACATGGCAGTCGAAAAACGTTTCGATCTTTCGGAATTAGTTATAAGCATCCTCTATTGTTCTGGAAGGAGATGAAATAATTCCAATGTGAGTCGATATAAAAAAATCAACATAATTCACCAACCAAGGACAATATGACAATGACCAGCGTACGAACGCCCAAGTCGACAATAGAGAACTTATGATGATAATGTACAGCTAATGATGTGTACACGACGGTGTATTTTTTTGCCTGGGATGTCAGTATAATATTAGTGCCGACAGACGTAGTTACTGACTTAAATGTAATGAGCAATGTAGAATGAAGTAAAGAGAAATACATGTGTAGTTGTGAAACTGTTAATGCTGCATATAGGAAAGGGAATGGGATGGTGAAATTCGCTTGTCTTCAACATCTTCTTGCATGCGTTATAGTTATTAAAAGTTTAATTAGTCTAGAACTTAGCTTCATCAGGGAAAACCAGGAAAAATGAAGATGACGGTTAACACCAAATCAGTCTGTTCCGCTAGAAACGTTGAGAGAAACTTCCGCTCAACAAGGTTTGTTGGGTTGTTCCTGTTCTAGGTTGCTGCAGAACAAAGCTCCACGCACGGTGCTCCAGCGGGAAGCGGAGCGGATTCGGAAAGAGATGAACCCGCACCCCGCCCAGCAGAAGACGCTGAACGTTCCCCGGGTTGACGGTCTCCCTCTCCCGGGCTTGCAGCACAAGTACCGGGAAACCGTCCTGTTCTTCCCGGCAGAGGGGCAGTTCTGTCACGCCTACTGTACGTACTGCTTCCGCTGGGCACAGTTCACGTCTGTCGGCAGGTAAGACCGAGAGAACCTCCAAAACTGCAACTTGTTCAGTTTCAATCAGAGTAGAAATATAGAAAGTTACCGCCTTCTCAATGTATATTGGGACATAAGGTTGAGACTATATTATTACGACTATACTACTACTACACAGAGCAACATACATGTACCAAACACTCAGTTTGATACTGCAAATGCAGACCAACTATTAGTGTAAGAAGAACAGGCCACGACTCTTCATTTCTTATCTAGATACTAGTATTTGTGTTCGTGTGTGGTTTATAAATCGTTAAAAATTTTGTCCAATTGTTAAGTGGAAAAGAAGAACTATACATTGTTGATGTAAATGGTTGTAAAAGGTTCGTGTTTGTTTTTGTACATTTCTAGTCCCCAACAGTTCCAGTCTGATGACTCCAAACTGCTTCAAATCTACTTGCGGCGGGTGAGACATTTTATTATCTAGCCAATATGATTCAATATTATAAAAGTCAGTTACAAATTTAGACGATGGTATTGGATCCAGGGCAAAAAAAATACATAGCCCTGCTTGTTGGGTGTTAACCATTGCAAGTACGGTCTGAATGTCTGAAATTTGTGATATACGCTTGTCCGACAGCAAACTTTATATGCTATGCACAAGTTCAGACACATTTTAAATTAAAACAGTCGTATTGCCGACATTGCGCTAATCGTTTTTATAAACCCCAGAACCGGCACGTGAGCGACCTGTTGCTGACGGGAGGGGACCCGATGGTGATGTCGGCCGCGCGGCTTGGCGGGTACATCCTGCCCCTGCTGAAGGACCCGTGTCTGGACCACCTCTCCACCGTCCGCATCGGCACCAAGTCCCTGGCCTACTGGCCCTACCGCTACGTCACCGACACAGACTCGGACGATCTGCTGCGAATATTCGAGGAGGTGAGGCAAAAGACCAATTTTCGTATTAAAAAAAGATACCAGTGCAAAAGAGAAAGCCCCCCCCCCCAAAAGCCATAAAACACGCCAAAATTAAGCTTAAGTCAAAACCCAAACCTCTGTTTGAACAGTATTAGCAGCCCGACATACAACATAAACTCCAAATACCTGTACGAAGTGCCAAGAACTATGAAATATTCTACGTAGTGCAAAGAATTATGAAATCGTCTGTAAAAAAATCTTGAAACACATGCAGTGCCAGGAATTGTAAAATGTTCTGAGAAAACATGGGGCCTTCATCAGGATCAAATGACCCATCACTTCTGATCCTGTTTTCCCAGGTGGTGAAGTCAGGTCGACAGTTGGCCATCATGGCCCACTTCACCCACCCGCGGGAGCTGTCCACGCCGACCGTGCAGGAAGCCATCCGGCGGCTGCGGATGACGGGCGCCGTGATCCGGGCACAGGCGCCGCTCGTCAACCACGTCAACGCCGACCCCGCCACCTGGGCCCGCCTGGTCCGCACAGAGACCCGGCTGGGCGTCATCCCGTACTACATGTTCGTGGAGAGAGACACGGGCGCGAGGCACTACTTTGAGGTAGCTATAGTGATACATATACATGTATACTATTGTAACAGCTGGTATACGCGTCACTAACTAACTGCCCAGCCCAATGGGCCCTGGACCTTTTGGCCTAGTGGTTGTACGTTCGGTTGTAAACTGACACGCCGCGTGTGGTGCGTGTCCGATCCCCGGGAGTCATAGTCAACATTGTGTCTTTCCCTCTTTCTCTGATGTATATCTCACCTAACCAGTACAGTTAACTTTGAAATTTCCAGATGTTTTTCCGTCCTATCGGTATAGGCATTGAGCATCTAATTGAAGTTAAAGCTGTTGACTATTGAGAATTAGGTGGGCCAAGTGAGCTGCGATATTTCTAGCTAATAGACAAGAATAATACAACGGTATCTCGTTCTGTCCAGTCCCAGAATCTTAGAATAGTCTAGTAATCAAGGAAAGCATGCACGCTTGGCCCTCACGTGTTCTCGGATAAGGACGGAAATACTTAAAGGTCCCTAGCCCTGGGATGTCCTTATTATAGGCGACCTAGTATGGAATGCCTTAAATGGATGACCAAGCCCCGTTATCTAATCTTGACACCTGTCACTATCTTAGAATAGTCTTTACCAGACTAACAACACGGATTTAAAACAGTAAGATTGAGCTCAAATCCTTGAATTAGGAAAACTAATAGGCCAGGGGAGTTCACTTGCCTGCGCCCGAGTGAAAAAAAGAAAAGAAACCCTAATGATGAACCCACATCCCTGGCTAGTCGGACCCTATTTTTCGAGAATTCTGCTTTCCCAACCCCCTTAGGCCTCGTGGACACAGACACATATAGACACAGAAGGAACCTCAATATGTCACATCTAATCAATATGATAACGTTTAGAATGTACCGATGTGTTCTATGTCCAGGTGCCCCTAGCGAGAGCAGTGGAGATCTACAACCAGGCGTTCTCGTCGGTATCGGGACTGGGCCGTACCCTGCGCGGACCGTCCATGTCGGCCACACCGGGGAAAGTGCACGTTCTCGGCGTGTCCGAAATCGCCGGCGAGAAGGTCTTCGTGCTGAAGATGTTACAAGTAGGTTTATAGTCATGTAATCTTGTGGGTAAAATCTCAATGTGAGCTATTTCGTTGTCACTCAAAAATTTCCATCTGGAAAACGTACCTCGAATGACCAAAAACAACGTTTCAGCGAACAGTATTTTTGAGACGAGTGGTTGTAATGGATTATAACTTTGATTTGTACACGTCATTTTACACATTTGGCACATTGATATCTAGTGGAACACTAACCGTCCATTGTCACACATAACGATATTCCTGTATTCCGTTTTTCAGGCCAGAAACCCGGAGTGGACGCACCAGATCTTCCACGCTCAGTACGACGAGAAGGCGACCTGGTTAGACCAGCTCAAACCGGCCTTCGGGCAGGACAAGTTCTTCTTCGAGGAAGAGTTGAAGAACCTCGAGAGAGAGGAGAACTCCTCCGGAAACTTGTACCCTTACTCTCCGGAGATGGAGTACAGATGTGAGGACATCTTCTCTCCGAAAGACTAACTCAGTGAACGACAACCCGACGTTACTAACTCAGGCATCTTTGTACCAAAATTCCCAAGTGCAATTCTGCATGGTGCAACCCAGACGGTTTTACTACTGGTGGTTGTGTCGGCATCAGTGTTCCAACAAGAAGGATCGCCGGTTGTGCCATAACGGTGCAGTTTCACCGTTTTGTTAGCCTGTTCTAACCCAGCTACTTGTAGAGCAATAGTAGAGGCAATAGGTTCTGCCAGTAGCTGGTTTGGAAAAGGTTATAATGTATGGAAATAAATTCGCACAGAGTGACCCAGCTGATGTGTGTTATGGACCAGTGTAATACTCAGTAACAGAAGGTGGTGGGACCTTTTCAAGACAAGAGGTTATATGTGCAAGTCACCTCCGTAAACGTGCAGCATAATCACTGTATTCAGACTAACGTAAAGCGAAAACAACCTGCATTCTTCGGTTGTGACGTAGCCACATCACTCTACCAAACGTAAGTGTTGTAATCGTGTCATTTACTGTTCATTCCTGTAACAGCATTGTACTGTTATAAGTTGGTCAAGTACATGTATGTTACTATCAGAAAAGCGTAGCCTTTGTTCAATGTATCAAAGGGCACTTTCCGGAGTGTTTTAGGATGTCACTTCAGTGAAGGGCCATGCCTTATTAAAAACCAGACACATGACACGAAGGGCACAGAAGCTACGCTGGAAAAAATGGTGCCTTACCCGATCATAAGGCATTGCCCATTGCAGATATGTATATACGAAGATTTTGTGTGTAATCATCTAAGTTACATGTATATCAGCACTTAGTATACTGTTTGTTATAACGTTACTACACTTGTTACTCTTTAGAGTATCTTAGAGGGGAACGGAGATTGTATAACTTGGCTCATGAAAGAAAGGTGCATAACTATACTTATGCAATTTTAGTAGCGAGAAAAAAATGTTGAAATATCTACATGTCTGGTATCTAATCATGATGATGTTAAACATGTTAATCTGTATGTTTACATAATTTACGAAAGAGACCACGTAATCCTGACTATGAAAGCAAGTTTCTCAGAAATACAGTATGCTTTTGGTGTCTACATACATTTGACAGGGTATTATTATTTTTGTGTTTGTAAAGCCATGTATGCTTATGCAGAAAATCTGGTGGCAGGAGAAAATTTAACAGTCACTTTTGTCATAAATGTCCAATTCGCGTATTGCTCCATTTTAAAGCAAACCAAAATGTCTAATTTATATAAACATCCACAAAACTTTCAGGAAAGTAAAACAACATTTCTCGATGGTTTCATGCACAATATTGAAACTTTGTGATATGTATACTTACAGAACGTGCCAGTACTAGGGATAATTGTTAAGAGAGATACATGTATATTCTCCTTTGTATGTGCAAATCTTGCTTTGAGGATTCAATGGCAGCTCAAGCAAAAAAATAAAAAGTGCTTCTATTCAAGCATCCACAATGTGTCCCTTTGTCTTGACGTCTTTGGTTTGTAGATGGGGTTTCTAAGAATGATGTTGCATTTGGTGCAAATAGAAGTGTTTCTGACATGGTGAAAATAGAGAAAATACAATTTGTAAATGCCTTGAGATGTTGAGCGAATTGCCCCTACATTACTTAAATGCTTCAGGTACATGTATTATGATACATATATTATACACTCAGATATTATGAATTTGAGTCAAACTTTTATTCGGTCTCACCTCATCCAAAATCAACTTTCTTCATTACTGTACAGAATAAAGAATACACCTGTCTCTTTATTGTAAATGTACTGTGCATGTATCATATACAAGCCTTACACAATATGAAGAGAAAGAATCCTCAGGCAATGAACCTGGTCTATAGTGGATCTGTCTTATGATTGAAAACATACTGAAGGTAACGTTACATGTAAACAAATCTATAGTTTCAAGTTAATATTATGTTCTCAAAAATCAGTTCAAACTCCTTTATCAAAGATATACAAACTATTAGGACTATGTACACATGGAATGCAGATGTCACTCAGTTTCTATACACATGGAATGCTTATGTCATCCAACAGCTGTACACATGGAATGCTTGTGTCATCAACCGTTCCAAGGTTCCCTCATAAATTGGGAGGAAAAAACAACAGTCAAACAAATATTTGCGACTTTTTCTTGGTTAGCTGTCTGTCCCCCATAGTGAATCTGACTAATAATTGTGCATCAATTCTACTGCATACCAATGATAACTCGGTCTGTACACTCAAAGATGACCCAACATCTACAACAGAAACATTTTAAGATCTATTTATGACAGCCAAACTTTCCACATGAAATATACATAGTGAATGGACACAACGTCTGGTCAGTAAAGGTCCTTTACTTTCTGGACAGAGGTAGTCCAGTTTTCTGTCCATCTTGTCTCACTGGTCAGTTGTGCCTCCTTCTGGTCAGCGATACTGGACAGCGACAACTTGAACTTGTTCAGGTAGTCCTGGATTGGAAGGAAACGTGAAACTTATGAGATAATTGTAACTTTGATTGTAAAGTTAAGTAACATGTTGTCCCTCACAGAACTTTATGATCCTCTGATATTGCAACTCTAAATTAGGTCTCAATTATGACTTTTTCCAACATGACATTTACCATTTATTTGTTCTTACAGGGATACAGTACATCGTATATCAGACTAGTATGAAATATCCCCTAACTGTTGTGAGGTTTGTATTACCTGGTAAGCCTTGTCCCTGGCCTCCACAGTTGAGCTGTGTCCCAGGGTGGTCTTGGCTGTACTGACTGCTGCAGTTGTCTTCGGCTTTTGTACCTGCTTTTGAAAAGAACATAATGTTTTGAATATTAGATTGAAAATGCAAACCATACCTAAATGACA